TAGGCTGTAGTAAAACTGGGATGTGAGAAAGCATTCAGTATTGATTTATTCTTCTACAACTGAGTTCAGTTTAAATGTTGATTTCTGGCACGGGGCGCTTTGGAAAGTCTCTCTTTTAAAGAATGAAATTAAACATTATACTGTGAATTCTCACCACCAATATGTATAGATTAGTATCTGCAGAGTCAAAAAACTCCATAAAGGAAGCATAGCCTACAAAGCTGGAGCCTTTGCAGCATGCTAATGGCTTTCCATTAGGTCAGATTAATGTTTTCTATTCGGTGAAAATAGGTATTTAGCAACATCACTTTCAGTTTGTTAGGCATAAATACTGCTGGACCAATTGCTTTACCCTTGGGAATGAATTGGCACTTTCAGTGCTGGCTGTTAAATCATTTCTGCAGGACAGCTGTAGCATCTGCAACTTCTGACCCAGGGATGGAGGTTGCATCCAGGAGCAAATATATCCTCCTCCTTCATATATCCTCCTCCTGTACTCTTCCCTTTTGAAAATGTGCAGGCAACAAACTGAAGCCAAATCCTCTCATATTGAAGAAAATATACACCACAGTGAAAAATGCATACTGGCGTATGTTTGCACAAGTGTCTTTCTCACAGCGGGAGCTTCTAGAGTGGGTGGTGACAGTTGGCTGGAGAGATTGCAATTACTAGAGAAGGGCGATGGAGAGGTCCCTCCCGTGGGGTTTCTCTTCATCCCAGTTTTTCTTAATCAGTGCTTCAAGTCATGTCAATACCCGTATGGTTTACAGCCTACGTATTTTCTCCTTATAGATCTTCAGATAGCAACTCAGGTAGCAACAGAGACCCATTATCCCATCTATTCCTCCTACGACCCTATTCTTCTCATCTGAGAGCTGTTACTTGAAACTGGTATTAATAGTAAAAAGGTACATTTGCAGTACATTTTTCATGCAGAAGGTTCTTAAAATACCGTACAACCTAAATTGATGCAAATTTATATATGAGGATCTTAGATCTAGGACTCCTCAGAGCTATCCTTCCTAATTGTTTGATATGTAACTAGTGGGCTGTACAACCAGAAATAAATCATTAAGTGCTGTGATACCCAGATACCCAGCCAGAGGCTGGACCTGACTTTGTGTGCGTTAAACACGTTCTCTCAATGTCGAGCCACTTTGAAGTGCCTCAAATATTGTGTCCCTAAACAAACCACTTGAGAATGATTGGAGACTTTTGAAAATGTTGACATAGGCTCCTATATCAACAAATAAAATGCAGTTCCATTAGGTAGGAAGGCAGGCTTTTTTTAATCATGCACGGTAGTAGTAAAATGGAATTTAATACAAGAAATGGAAAATAATACTTCCTCCACTTTAATGTTCAGGAGAAAGCAAGATCAGGGGAATTGAATTACTTGAATTGAAATTTAATCAGAAACACACGTTAGATTTTTGTAATCTTGTGAAGGAATTTATTACGCACTGCATATTAAAAGAACAGTAGGTTCTTGTTTTCCTTGTAAAACAGCAGTAACTGTTCTGAAGACAGGTCGCAGTCCTAAGAGAGATCCACCGCTGGATCACCTTGAAGTAACAAAACAAAGCATCAGCCGTGGTCCCGTGTTTAGGACTGCAGAGTGGCAAAGGAGGTGGCCTTTGAGGGGGCCACGGCGCAGGCGAGACTGGCGGCCTCTTCTTGCTCCATCCAAATCAAGGGAAATACTGCTCCTGAACGACAGAAGAGATGGCTTCGTGGGTCTGGGTTTGAGCAGCCATAGGGTATTACTGAGCTGAGAGGGGACGTGCATCACAGCACCTGGGGATGGCAGAAAATGGACCTAAGGAGGTCTGCGTGCATCCCCCCGGGAAAAGCTGGGTCTCCGCAATGTTAGCATTAGAGATGAGCAAAAGCAAATAGAGTGACTTAGGTCTGAAGGACATTTCACAGATCCTGAAATGCTCGACTGGCAGGTCTATGCAGAGAAATAGTTTCAGCTCTGATTTTCCATTAATTAAGCTAGTTAGTTCTGTTGCGCTCGCAGCGCGCATTCAACCCTGCTTTCTGTTGCTGTTCGAAAGCACAGATTCCAATTACGCCAGTCAACACAGCTTAAACCAAATGACCGCTTTGCTGAATTTATTTGAGGGACATTAGTTTTTCTGCTGAAGTTGAAGCAACTCGGAGGTCGTTCTGCAGAGCGCCGAGCGAGAGCACAGGTGCTGCAAGCTGCTGCCCAGCGCTCAGCACCAGCAGGATGGTGCTCCGAGTTGGAAGCTAATGCAGCATCCCACAGCCCATTTGACTTACCGTAGGTTTCTGTGGTGCATAAGGTTGTCTTTGTACTTGAAGGTATATGCATCTGAATAAGGAAAATAGCCCCACAGGTTTGGTTTTTTTTTTTTTTTCCTCCTGTAATGAATTAAAGTCCTGAATTACTGAAGTTAGTGAATTAAAGTGCATGATGCTCAGCACAGCTGTAGAGAAGGCAGTGAGGATGTCAGGAAAGCACAGGCATAGGTGGTCGTCGTACTGATTTTTCAGCCTTGGCTTCCTAAAGATGTCGTGTGCCAGAACAACTATTTCACAAATTTCAGTTTTGCACAGCAAAACTACATTACTCATCTCTTAGCCTATTGAATCCGCTTTTTTCTCCCAGCTGATGTAATCAGGAGTCAAAGCGGTGTTCATATGTGCGTTTTTGACTGGAGATGCGTTTGTGAAATACTCTGAGCGTATGGGTAACCTGTCATGGATGAGGAATTGGCTAAACAACATTTGCTTGTTATGCACTCTGTTTCTCCTTTCTCCTTTCTAAAACTGACTTTCAAAGGACAAGACAGTTACTTGTCAGAAGGAAAGAAACGATACTGTCTACTTCCAGTTTGGAAAGATGATATAATTGCGGGTAAATTCTTCCCCAGAAAACACTAGTGAAGACATGATTAAAAAGGAGACTGCTGTGGTCGCTCATGTTCCTATCAAAGCCTAATAATATTTAGACAAAATTGGTGTCTGAGGCAATTTGGGGGGGGGGGGGGGGTCTTGCAGGAAGAGCATCCCCCCATCCCATGCAAAAGCATCTGCTTCACTTATAGCCTATATTTAGGTTCCCAACTCCTGTTGAAATTTGTGCATGATTGATAGAAACCTCATTATCTTTCTGAATCTGCCCTAAATTCACAAAATATCATCTCATTCCTGCCTGCCTTGAGCTAGCTGGTGCCTGACTGCTTATTACCTGTAAAAATTAGTTTTCTTCCTACCCTCTCACCCCTTCAGGCAGCGTCTCCTACGTAGGGTTCGTTAGCGCTGGGATGATCGGGCTCATTCCGGTATTGCTGGTGTTGTGATTCCTCCCTGGCAGAAGGCTTCATCTGGGAGGGACGAGCTGGGGATGCTACAGTGTGAGAAGTTCCTGACGGGGAGGATGGCGGGGCCTCAGAAATTTAACCCCTCTACGACGCTTGTCTTAACCTGCAAAGATAAAATTGTATACAGCGAGCAAAATATATTATGAATATAGAATATTTAAAACAATTATTTTGATTTATAAATATGTTTATAAAGAATATATATTATTTATAAATATATTTATTGTATTTTATTACATAAAATGAAAGTCTGAGTTTAAAAAAGTGATAAAGTATAAGCCTTTTCAGTAATGTAAGCCACATTAGAGTTAATATTGCATTGTCTTCCTTTTTTTTTTTTTTTACATTAATTGGTTTTTTTTGCAAAACTCCCATCTTTAAGACCTAATTTTTCCTTACCTGCACTCAGCCTTAGCGGGATAGTGATATTCATATGTTTATTTTTAATAGGAAAATCTATCAAACTCTTTTAGCATTACAGCAGAATGGGAAAATCTCTCCCTGTCTTTTTCTCCCCCAACCCCAAATATGCTAAAAGACTTTGCACTTAGAAAAAGCTATAGCATAGTTTCAACTTCACCTTTATTTCTGACTGACAAAACTGGAAACCTGCCAGTACTCACCACAGCTATGGTGTAGCAAGAAGTTCATTGCAGTTGTCGGAGCAGTGAGTTTAACCTGGGAAGACGAGCGGTGGGACTTGATCTTCAATAAGTTGGTGGGAGGAATATTATAATGTGCAGTGAATTGGAGAACACTTATTGTGCCTTAGCCTGTGAAGGATGTCTGCCTCTATTGCATAAAATCTTGCTTTGTTTTCCCAGAAACAAAAAAAACAGGAATAATAACATGGTCTGAGCATGGTAATTTCAAGCAGTAAACAACATAGAAACAAGATTTTTTCTAACAGAAACTGGTGACTAATGTTTTACTTAAAAATATTTGCTTTAGCTGGGCATTAACCTCTTGGCAGATATTTCTGGAAAAATTAGATATTTGGCAGCAAAAATTCATAAAAAACAGAGGCAGGGAATGCATTTATCTAGCTAAAAAAGGGGCTGGCACCCTTGAGAGGTGGCAAAGTCTCATTTGCAGCAGAACTAGAGCAACATTACAGTTTTCTTTTATATGTACAGAAATAAATATATAGAGATAGATATATAGATATATACATACAGTTATATATATATTTCCTATTGCTGTGATAATAGCCTTATACTAACCCAAATGTAGGGTATAAATTATTCCTAGTATTGTATTCAAGTAGCACGTCCAGGCAAGTCTTCCCTCCCTGCTCTCATCTATTTGACTGGGATATTTATCTGAAATCCTAAAAGGTGAGAAGAGGTGAGTTGAGCAGTCACATAGCTCTGCCTGCGAACCTGCAGAGAGCCCTGGGCGACTCATTTCTTCCATCGCAGATTGTGTCAGCTGCTCAGAAGATACCTCAGTACAACTTAAATTCATTATGACTTAGACGTTTTCCTTTTAACTTGCACGCTTTTCCCTAACCTTCTCTTTTACTTCAAAGCTTTTAATAGGAAGGACTTTGCAACTATAAATAAATAATATTTTTCGAACAGATTATTTGGAGAAAGTTTTTCGCTGGCAATCCTGATTGAGTGGGTTTCTGCGTTCTCTCTCCAGCTTGCACAGACAAGGAATTGAGGAGTCTCGCTTCGCGACTAAAAGACTGGTTCGGCGCTCTGCACGAGGATGCAAATCGCGTCATCAAACCAACCAGCTCGGAGACAGCACAAGGCAGTAAGAAAGCGCCTTTCGGGTTGCACGTTGAGCGTTGCACGGCTGAGCTCAGCTCTTCATGCTGCCGCGTCGCGGGTGTCCGCAAGCACGCGGTTACACAGGGGACCTGATCTTGCAAATCCCCCACCGGTTTCTAAGGGAGCTGCAGTCACTGTGCTCTCTCTGGCTCAAACTGCTTTCAAAACCGGCAGCCTGAGACAGTGAGACCTTTACGAGTCAGGCAGGCGAAGAGCTTGGTCTGAAGGCCGTGGAAGCCACAACTAGACTTGTAAATCAAACCGCTCAGGGACTTTTCTCAAGCCCTGAGGTTGAGTGGCATGACATAGTTCATGTCTGGACGGCTAAACTTGGGTCCGAACCAAGGTGGCTGCATCAAATCATCTATCAGGGACGGACCGTGGCCTGGGCTCTCACCCTCAGTCTATGCCCGCTGCCTGTCGCAGTGTCAGTGGCATGAGCCAAGACTGGGGTGCACAGAGTAAATTATCCCAATGTTGGAAAAGACTCACGTAGACTTGATTTTGCAATTTCCAGCTAACAAGTTATAGAAGAGAAAGAATAATGGAAATATCCACACCACAGCCACAGAGCTGCAATAGTTAAATGGTGTGGAAAGCTGGAATTGCACGCACAGAGAAAAGGCGAGCTTATCTATTGTGTCCCAGGTATTTAATAATACCGTCTTAGCTTCTTTCGATGCCTTTAAAAAAAAAAAGGAAGAAAGAAATGAATAGTTTAGAGGGCATTTACTCTCTGTGGGTTGAACCAGTATGACTGATTTTGATGTCGTTTACCCACCGGCGAGGGGAAGGACTCAAATAACAGCATCAAAGGATGTTATGCTCGTCAGAGAGCAGATGCAAACTTATTTTCCATAAGGACTTATTAATCCTCTTAAACAGCATGTCCCAAAATACATGGTCCTCTGCCTTTCAAAGTAGGCTGCACATATTTTATCTAGGTGTGAGATTCGCCTTCACTTCACTACCCTAATTCAAGCCTGGGTCCACACAACCATATGTTAAAGGCTTCAATCAACTGCTCTCTTTTCCTTTTCTTTGGATGCCAGTGGCTAGTTTCTTTAGTCATTTAGTCACTTTAAATAGTCATTTATTTTCAACAAAGTCTGTATCTTGGAAGCAGTATGTCCTATTTTTTTCTTAAACACTCCTCTGAAAAGAATATTCTTATCATGCAAACGAAGCTGAACAGCAGGGCAAAAAGGCAAGTGGGCATACAGCTAATCAGGGCTTCAAGACATGAACTCATTTCAGGCCTCGTCATTAGAAAACTCCAGAGACAGGAAACTTTTTGTCTGACGTTCTTTGGGCCCACAACCACATGTCAAGAAGATGTTCCCTATACAGCTGACCTAAGGGCTCCTCATGAAGAGCTTAGCCAAAGGCCAAAGACCAAATTGATTCCTTGAGGTTTTTTTTGTTGAAGCAGTTTCAGTGAGAAAAACATTTCTGGTAATTCTGCAGTGTTTGCTCTGATTCACAGAGGAGCTGTTATCTCTTTTTAGTTTAGTTTGATTCCTGGCAGCTTTTATATGAAAGGCTGCCTTGATGATCTTAAACATTTGATCTCAACAACGTTCATTTTTAGACTGCTGACTTATATTCTTATGTGTCAGTAAAAAATAAAAAATAAAATAACTTTATGAATTAAGATGCTTAAATCTTGCCACAAAACTTGGGCTTGTTTTTCTTTTTAAGAGACTGCAACATTTTTCATGAATTAATCAGCACGTGCCAAATTCTACAGCCCCGGATCTCTCTGGTAGCGCTGGAAATACACATTGAGTAAGGAGAGCAGGATGTGGCTTCCTCTAACTTCAAACGTTTGTAAGAATAAAAGACATCTTAAATGGGGCTCAAAATTCAAAGCAAAATTCACAGGCCCAAACTGAAAAAAACAGCCGTGTGAATCCTGGCAAACAGGACACACGCAGCTCTGGAAATATGCTCTGACGTGCCCATTGCTCTTTTTTTATCGCTCTGCGTGTATTCCCCTCCTCACTAGGCTGATCACTTCATTAAACTGAACCGGTTTGGTTATGCCTATAGTGCCTTAAAAGGCATATGCATCCTCAAAGTAATCCATTTTGGATATGCCCCTGTGGCACTAAAAGGGAACATATGGTGGGAAGTGATGACTAAGATGCCTTGGCCACATCAGCTGTCTGGAGAACGTGTTCCAGCAGAGATTTCTCTATGCTACATTAAATTTTCAAGATGCTACTGTAAGTGTAAATAAGATTTTTGAATGTATTAAGTTCACCCTCAGGTGAAGAAAAAATCTCACTTTTTTTTTATACTCTTCTGAAAGGAAAGGGATGAGGGCGAGTTGTTGGTGTTTCAGGTCTCAGACCTGCATTCAATATGCTATCTGCCGGAGCTAACGAAGCAGATAGGCCAGGAACTCTGTCTTCCATGGCCTTTGTACAACTGAAGTCACCTCACTAAATAATATGAGCAACTCAAGGACATGTTTGAAATGAGGAAATAATATTGCTAATTAGGTGTGAAGATCCAATTCAAATTGCTCCAGAGCCTGTCGATAATTCATAAGATTCCCGTGTTGTATCTAGATAGTATCTTTGGTTGGAGTGGGAGTTGTTTCTCTTTTACTAGCAACCTATGCAATATAAAGGATGCTTTCTGAGGAACGTTTCTTCTCCTCCTTCCTTTATGTCAAGTGATGGAGGAAATTAGGTTAATTATTCCTCCGTTAATGTAATTATGGTATACTTTAGTAAAATAAATCTGGCTCATGTAAGTCAACACTTGAAGGGAGAGGAATAATTTTATGTGCCAGAAGGTCTGTTTATTTTTAATTAGGAGTTTCACTTAAAGATTTTTTTTTAACTTAATTTCATTTTAATTTAGCAGAGGTGGAGCATTTTAGGTATTAATAGGATATTGAGACTTTCACATGTAGGTCACTGGCTTGAATTCCTTCCCGATCCGTAGCGAATGAGAGCTGTTAGGCTGCTGAGCAGCTGTCAGCTGGAAGGAGAAACGTGATGGTCTCAATCCAGGTCCTTGCGAGCAGGTGTCCGACACAGAGCAGCCACCACCACCAGCACATTGACACTAATTGGCGTCCTCGTTGGCAGCCTCTGCGGAGAGCGGCGAGCAGCGGGATATGAAGGCTGCTCCCCTCTCCTGCCTCTAACCGTAGTCACTGCAGGGCTGAGTTGAGCCACAGAAAGACGCAGAAAAGGTCTCGCTGAGGCTGCTGTTACACCGGGACCTCTGTGCTCGAAGTCCAGCTTGTTAACCTAAGAACTTTATTTCACCCAGCATATTGCACCGTATGTGTAAGAAAATCTATCAGAAGGCTGCAGGAAGGAATCATTAGTTCCTTCAGCGCGGCTTGGCCTCCCCTAGTCTGCTGTGAGCGAGGCAAACCTGACTCTGGTACGCCAAGCGTCAGCATCTGGCGCGGTGGCTTCCCGGTTAAAGTAGCTGAGAAGCATCTTCCACCGGCTGTCGGCGAATGCACGGGAGCAGCTCGGGGCGCTCGCTGCTCTCGTTCCCGCTGCGGGGTGGCAGAGAGCCTGCAGCACTCCTGGGTTTCGCCTGCAGTCACAGTGTAGCAAAAGGTGATTTACAGGCAGAAGCTTTTACCAGGAGACAATCTGAAGAGGAGGTGGATGCTGCTATTCACCTTCACCCACGTGCTGAAGGACAATTAAAGGAATAGCCTTTTCGCTGGTAATAACCGGCTACCTAAGGGCTTTCTGTCACATCTATAACATTTAAAGGCTCGCGGACCACACGATCTAATATGCAGCACTGCTTAATAGCACAGCCTCTTAATAAGCTCCCCTGTTTATAAGACATTACAATCAAAAACTCTTCAGCTAATGTAATTAAGTGTCTTCATAAGTGACCTTTCATGACTGTGTCTTGCATGCGAGCCCTGATGGCACGCCACAGAGCAGCCTCTTATCCGCATCAGTCGCTATCTGGTGATGCGCGCAGACAGCTCGGCACTGGCGGCGGGCTGTGGCTGTGTCCCGGAGCGCCGTCGTACGCGCAGAGAAAGAGCGCCTAGCAGGGAGGAAAGCAAGAGTCAAAAATAATCCGCACGCGCTACTGGGGGCAAGTTCACAGCCGGATCCCTTCACTGCGTCGACCCTTGACAGCTAGGAGGTGACCGGTGGACAGCCAAGGGGCTGAGCAACACACGAAGAACCGATGGCATGAGAGACCTTGTGGCCATTCCCTGGGCAGCAGGACATCCCACAACGCACAAGGACCATCCCCAGAGAGGACATCTGCCCCATGGAGGGGAGTCGGACATAGGAGACACACGCGCAAGGCACGGCTCGCCGTACCAGCCCTGCTCCTCTGCACGGTGGAAAGGCAAAGGCGAGGGCTCTAAAATCTTTCGCTCAACAAGAGACTGTGACCAAATCCTGTCTGCCTTCTTCAGCTGAATAAAATAATTGAAGTCGATAGTCCTAACAGCTTCAGCAAGGCGAGCAGGATTCCTCCCTACATCTATTCACACGGCCTTTTGATTAGATAACATTAGAGGAGATAACAGCACAAAAATGTGATTAAAAGTTCAGCATGACCTCTCTCTTCCCTGCCTGAGCTGCCTCTAGCCCTGAGGAAACGGTGTCCCCCTCTTCCTTTCTTACAGAAACATGTGTTAGGACTGACACAGTTAACCCTTCTGATTGTGCCTCCATATTCATTGACAACACTCAGCTGCAGTGACAAAAAAAAAGCACAGCTTCCAGCGTAAAGCGCTGCCCTCCCTTGGATTAATACTTAAAATAGCAGGTAGGCTGCAGAGCTTGGACAAACTGTCAGTGGGACTCCAGCAACACCTTTGGTTTTGCTTTAACAAAGCAGCATCTGGAAATGGAACTTGACACTTAACAGCAAGTAAGGCTAAGCTTGACCTCTTTCTTTGAAAGCAGCAAAGAGAAAAAGCCCGTCAGCCTTCTCCAGGTCACCAGAGCAGGCTGAATAGTGCGTGGGCAGGTTTATAGCAGGCAGCCAAAGCAGCACGAGCGCAGGGTACGAGGTCCAGGTACCCTCTGGGCGTGCAAATCCCTAACCAGGGTATATTCATGTTTCTGAGTCCTCATTGAAACCGATATCCTTATTCTCAGAATTATTAGCTCTAGGCTACCAATAGACTTTCTTGTATCATAGATAATTTGGAAATTAGTCCATGTTTGTACCAGGCTTTCAAAATAGAGCCATTGTGTGGGTTTATAAATACCCTGTCTTGTTTGTGAAAAAAGGCAGTGTGACTCTCTTTGTGGAGGAGGCAGAATACAGGAGTGTGCATTTCTCATACACAGCGTGGGTCTCCATAGGCATGGCATGGTCTTGCTGTGGCAGCAGTGCTGCTGCAGTCTTTTAAGGATTTGAGCTACTAAAATGAATTATGATGATGGGTTCCAAAGTGCTGGAAGAATAGATTCCTTGTTTTGTCACAAAATCTTGGAGCAGGCAAGAACAAACAGTACAAGTGTGGCACACAAGAGCAGGAACTGCCTCTCGTTTACATTTGCATGGGTCTGGATCTCGCAGCTAAGCACTGTGACTCCCTGGAGTGGTGCAAGCAAGAGAGATGCTCCCTCGGCTCCCCACCTTGCTCCTCCAGTGAGTTTGCAGGCCAGACCTCTGCGTTGGTTGTTCACCGCAGAAGGCATGGCCTTGAGGTGGGAAAAGCTTGGATGAGAGGTGGGAGGTGAGAGCACGCTAGGAAAGAATTTGATCAGGGAACTAGAAACAGGTCCAGGAGACAGCATTTAAATTGCGTTTTGACTTGGCCTAGTTTGAAAACACAGTGGATGCAGCCTTTTCTCATCACATTTTGATTTCTTGGAATAAGGCAAACCCACTTGGGACTGAGGATGGAAAAAAAGAAAATATATGTGATTGAGTTTTCTTCTGAGCAGAAATAGCTTTGAATTACAGTAATCAGTTCTGAGTCTCAGCCCTCCTCACCCCCCAGCTCATAAAGAGTATGAGTAGTGCTGTAGTCTGTACTCGTGTTTGGGTTTTAAGCTTTATTCAAGCAGCTGTCTTAGAATTTGTTCTGCGTTGGGCAGGTCAGGTTCATGTTCAGAGTCTAGATGAAAAAAGTCAAGAAGGCTGCAGTGCAGTGATATGCTGCAGTGCATATGCTTTGATTCACTCAGGGGTATTTGTCCATCTTCTTCCAGGGTTTGACACCAGCATACTACCAATCTGTAAAGATTCCTTAGGTTGGATGTTCAACAAACTTGACATGAACTACGACCTACTGCTGGATCCCTCGGAGATCAGCGCCATTTATCTCGATAAGTATGAGCCATGCGTCAAGCCTCTCTTCAACTCTTGTGACTCCTTCAAAGATGGAAAGCTTTCCAACAATGAGTGGTGCTACTGCTTTCAGAAGCCGAGCGGTGAGTTGTTCTGCTTCACAGTGTCAAACTGACTCATGACACGTTGGCGGGAATTGCTGAAGTGGCTGTAATTTCATAATATTCACGTTTAATACTGTGTAAGCAAAATCAGCGTTTTAGGCTAAATGGTTTAAATATAATTAAGGAGAGACTCAACTGAACAAGGAGAAGACTTAAAGCAGCCAAAGTGCAATATTTAGACCCCTTAAAGGAGATGGGCCTGGGCTGGCCAAAGTATTGAGGACCCCCTGCGGGCAGTAGGGAGCTTCAGCTCCTCCACCTGTGTGAAGGCAATATGGATGTGCTTGAAGCTCCAGTTGGGTGCCTGCTGTTAGCAATGCCTGTGGAAATGTTGATGTCCTGAACACATCGCTCAGCTTGTCTGCAAAACTAATTCCAGTATTTCCCAAACTGGTAACACTGGTTATAAGCTTTGCGCTTTGCTCCAAAAATAATCAGAAATACTGGTCTCTCATGCATTGTATCTTCAAAATTATTGCACATTTAACATTAATGTTTCAAAATTTTAATAGTTCAGGTATTTCAGAGTGGCATTTTCAAACGACTGTATTTTCCAAAGCATTGCATCTAGCTTGACAAGAGTATTTGTCCATTTTGCTTTCTTTATTTTACAGTCATGTACATAATATTTGGGGGCTGAGGGGATCAAAGAAAGAGAAGTTGTTTGGGTCTTCCTGTGTTTAAATTTTGATTGATTTGCTCTTAAGGACAGTTTGGTGATTGATAGCTGCATTAAAAAAGCTCTTTTCTCTATCATTAGTATAAAAGGCCATTGTGTAACAATGTTAAATGTCACAGATGAACTATATTAATATCCCTCAATGGTTAAAACAAAGGAAGAAATATAAAGTGCTGGCACACACAGTCTAGAAACAAGCCCTACCACTTATAGAAAGCTCAAGAACTTGTTTTCTTATTAATGCAGGAATTAGTCTGTTAGCAAATCATAAATTACAGAGCTGGCATTATGTCAGTTTGGTGAAAAGAGAGGAGGAACTGTTTAACAATGAAAACAGCCCCCAAACAGTATTTTCAACTACAGCATTTTGCAATTTTTTTTTTTTAATTAGTAGAGCTAATGACATGAATTTGTTTTGCAGTACAGTATCAGCATATGGGTCTGTTTCATTCCCAGGTGTTCAGTTGTCTACATTTCATGTCAATAGTGAAGCCAGTCATTAGAGAGTCTGTCCTGCACCATCTGGAAACTGATTCTCATACTCTATATTTCAGGTCTTCCTTGCCAGATTGAAATGAATAGAATTCAAAAGCTAAGTAGAGGGAAGAGTCTGTTGGGTAAGTTCGATTACTTGCCGTTCATTTACTCAACTAATTAAAGCTTCTCTGATTATTGTAACTTTATATGCAGCAATAGAGTTTCAATTAGGGACTAATGTTTTGAGTCAGGAACGCGCACCGTAGAGTGTAGGCCTGGCGCTAGGAAATGAAACAAATAATGGGATAGCCGCGTACAGCACAGGTGATAGCGGGTTCGGGACTGATTTACAGCTCTCCAGAAATGTAAACCCTCGTCTGCACCAAGCTTCAAGCTGCCTTCATCATCTGGAAGGTCCACAGTAAGTACAAAGTCTGCTTGACGCTCAAACCTCCTATTTTTGATTGAAGGCGGTGTAGTGCATAGACGATGAGTTCATGTCTTCCAGTTATGGTGCAATGCATGCATGACTCGCGGTTCAGGTTTGTGTAATCACCCTGAAGAAATTTTTCAGTATACTACGCCGTGTGTATGACACTCAGACCTGGGCCATGAAAACAGGGACTCACACCACCTCATTTTCAGCATCTCCGCAGGGTGCTGCCGTGCACAGAAGCTGTGATAGTGCCTGCCTCTCTCTCCCTCAACTACTGAGAGCCTGACCTGATTCATGTCATAACGTACACCCCTCTGATGGAGATCTAAAATTAGACGGAATAATCCCCCATATGGCATCTTTCCATTTAATTTTTGAAAAAGCAGGTTGTTAAACTGGGTTATTTCAATGTAACTAATTCCATACCCTAAAATTGCACTGTATTACATAGCCTAGAGTTTACGTGGCGTTATCTTAATGAAGTTTCTGACCCAGTGTGTTCGTGTGTAGCGCCAAACCGTGCAAGGCATATCAGCACACGTTAAAGTCTACTTGTTTATACAAAGCACTGAATCTAGCCCTTGGAGAACCTGGTGTACCACAGAAGTGGGCTGTCAGGCCCATCATCAGGAGCTCATCTTCAGTTTATACAGTGTCGTTAACTGCCGCACAGAGCGTCCATGCCAAAGTCTCTGGCGAAATGCATGTCCAAGTTTTGTCTGCTTCTCAGATTGCTCTCGGATTTTAGTCTGATTATTCTGGATGCTCATTAGCAGACCCTGCAAACAGCTTCTCAAAAGCTCGTCTTTGACGAACCCTGCCACTCCCAGAAGCCAGTGCTGTTTGCTCCAGGTTCAGGCTGCCTTAGAAACAATCCCAACCTGGATTCTTGGTTTAAAATCAGAATAAGCGTTCCCAGAGGTCGCGTATGGTTTGCTGGCTATGGTTTAGCTCTGTCACCCGTTCACAGGATCTTTGCACGAAGGCTAAGATGTTTCAGAGCTACAGCTCCTGCTGCTCATAGCTGGGGAAGCAAAGGGAGGGTTGATCACTCGGTTGTGTGTGCGCTGTGTTCATAAACAAGTCGTATTTGTGCTCAAGTATGTATGTGTAGAGAACAAGTCACTTGTTCTCTCTCTCATGGATTTCATACGATTTTCAAAGACCTAAAAGATGGAGAAGCCCAGTTCCTCGTAGCTAGCTCTAGCTTTCCCATGTTTATTTTATGCTCTGCTGTTATTTGCTCTATGCCATAAATGTCATCTAGGTAGAAACAGAAGTGCTTTTTACCAGTGTGTGGGAAAAATAATGGCTCTATTGCAAGGAGTACAACATGCAGGCAGTTCCGCCACATGGCACTGGGATCTGATCACAATAGCAGGACTAAAATGACAACATAAAAGCAGCAAGAATAGTCCCTCACCAAAAATAACTTCTAGTCAACTATTTTAAAAAAATAAAGGATAAAACTAGCTAAGCTCAACAAATCAGTGTCTGGCATAGGTTGTTTCACAAGCTAGAAAACAATAGCGAGAGAAACCCTTTGGTTTACCTACTCACTTGAAAGTTTGCCAGCATGACACCTGTTTGTGAAATTTTAATCTGATCTCATTGCTATTTATACAGAGGAAAACAATGTCTTTTCTCCTCACTGAGTTGCAAAATCGTGCAAATGGAGAACAGAACGCGCACATGACGACAACACTGCTTGTAGCAACAAGAAAGACTGAAAAGAGATGAATATTTTCTGAGAAACTAGTCCTTAATTAGTCTCTTTCCTTCTCCATCCCTGACATATAGAGCACAAAATTTACATTTCGGACAGTATACATGAAGAAGATTTCTGTGAACTCGTATCCATTGATAAAAAATGAGGACTTTGATTTTTTTTCTCTCTATATTTTTCAAAACGCTTGACAGTTGCAACAAAGTACTTCAAAGCCATTGCCATTAGATATGTTGAATTTGGAGGCTTTCAAATAGAGTCTAGCATCCCAGGAGACTGAATTAAAAAGTAAACAGCACTATTCATCTTTTCCTACCAGATTTATCTAGAGTACAATTAACTGCAGCGAGCGTACTTTTAGAACATACAACTGTGCAGCCTGATAATGCTTCTCCCACATCACTAAGGTAATAAATTTCCCCTCCCATCACTATTTTCTTCTGCATCAGCCCGGTGCATTCAACTGGTATAACAGCTAATACGGGGAGCTGCAGGCTGGCTAGCAGCTAATCCTATCCAGGTTTTACCTGTGTGCTTCGCAATCTTTAGCGTATAATTATTCTCCCTATGTCTTCTGACAAAGAATGGTGTTATGTATATACGGGAATGATGCAAAAAAGAGATATAGACGTGGATCTTTAAAGAAAATACAGCTGTAGCAGTGCTGTTCCAGTTTATGTAGAATAATTAAATACTGTGTGGGACAGAGAGAGAGAGGGGAAGCCTGATATACTGGCCTGCGGCGTTTTGGTGGGGAATGACTCCCGTTTCACAGCGCTTAGTGGAAAAGCTGGTCCAGCAGCCGTCCTCTCGACCAAAGGGCCACGCAGGCAGGAAAGCACCTGAGCCTTGGAAAGGAAACATGAACCCCTTTCTTCTTCCAAGTTCTGCAGATGTTCTCTCAGGCCAAACCAAATTGTGGCATGAAACAGTCGCACTCTATAGGGCGTTTGATTGCCACCCTCCAGATGCCAATGCTTGTAGCCAGAGCTTGTTTCTAGCGCACGCAGGGATTGATGAGTCTGGAACCTACAGCGTGAATCATCACTCTGTCCAGTACTGGCTCCTAATGATACTCCAGTCCCACCAGATTATCACCAATCTCTACACTGCGATGGGTGGCACATGCAGTGACATTAATGTGCATAGCTAAATATTTAAAGCTGCAGTGTTGCATGTGTCTCTATGAACTGGCACAAACTCCCCCTGCAGAAAAGAACGTACCTTATACTCTACACTGTGACCCAAAGCACAAATGCTTTCAAACCACCAGAGCCGCACGTGGTTGTATTGGCATTGAGCCTGTCCCATAATTTTTTTTAAATCTGTGGCTTTTACAGCCAGCGTTGAACATTTTAATACCCTACATGAAACACAGTGAAGCTATGCGAAAAGGCCTGTTACAAAAAAGGGAAAGGTTGCATTGCCCAAGGGAAACAGAAAGGACGGGACGGTTTATAGAGGTTATTCTCTGCCTACCCAGTAATGCCACTTCGGTTCGCTCCCTGGTTGTTCCTTGGAGCCAAACGCTCATCTGCTGTAGCAGGGTTGCTGCCGTGACTCTGGCACAGCTGTGCTGATTTACACCAGCTGACAGTCAGCGCCTGAGCACTCTTCCCAAGGTTTTGTATAGCCTGATAAACACCTGGAGTGTTTAACTGAGAGGAGACGTGAGCATAAATATGAAGAAAAAAAAAAAAAGATCTTTCCCAATCAATAATAAGGGCCTGAAGAGTGAGCATTAACCTGTAAAGCTGAGTACCTCCACGTTACTATTGGAACTATTTTTGATAAATAGTGAAAGCGAATCTTTAGTAGTCACAAATGTAAACTGGACTCTAAAACTGATCAGGTATCCAAAGCTTCCTGCAGATACACAAAGATTTCTGTCCTGATCTTCCAGACCTACGTTAGTGACATTTAAGCACTGGACAAGATCTGCAGCAGGATGGGACTGGCAACTCAAGGATTCAATTTATATATATTGATAGAGAGAGAGAGAAATGTAGGGAGAGATACAGATAGATAAATGAGATTGGCTGACGTCCATTTTTATGTGCGTTATATAAGTAATTTCACAACATTTGGGCAGTGCTTTTTCGTTCATTTTTTTCTGTGAGAAATGTAGTGGATATAGCCCCTTTGACACATGAACTGTCTGAAGAACTGCTATACACGTGGAAGTAGTTAAAGTATTATGTGAACAGTAAATCACTAGTATCTTTGACAAAGGAGAAAAATACTTTCTCAAAAATTATTTGAGACGAGATTTGGGAGGCAAGGCTGGGTGGGTGGGTGGGTGGGTGTGCGTGTGCTTTGAGAGCTTTTTTGCCATGTTTCAAATGGAAGCAGTTGTCAAAGAATGGCAAGTGACTGTACTGACCTGCCTGGGAATAAAGCTCGTCTCAAAGGACAAGAGGGTTTTTCATATTGGAGTACATTTGCTGTGTCTGCTGAAGATGGCGGGAACAATAAAGCAGGTTTCTCCTGAAGGCTTGACTGCCTGCAAAAGCCAGAATGAACCACACTGTGGCAGGCCAAACAAGACTGGTTTTATTGTCAGATAAATCCTAGCACTTCAAATCTGAAGAGGTTTTGACTTCAAATCCTGGGGTCTCTCACTGAAAAAAAACTTATGCACTGGTTCTGCTTTTATACACGAGAACTTTTAAAACGTCTGAAGCTGTACTTGAGCTTAGTATGAATAGCAGATGGCAGATACCTTCCAGGGATAATTTCAGTGTTGCTGGAAGACTTATGTGATAAACACTGAAGGAGTGCAAATGGAAGCGAAATGCGGAATTAATAAAGTTCTGGATAAGATTCCAGTTGGGAGGAAAACATGTAAGAACAGGAGTTAAATCAGAAAGGGGCTTTGTAGTAATAGTAATCATTGAGGGACATACTGAACCTGTTCTTAGGGCTGTATGCCATCGCCCTCCCCGTGCCATCACAGACAGTGCTGCGCAGAAGACCAGCGTAGCCGCAAGTGGTTAACCATGTCGAATTTCGGCTCCCTTTTAGGCCCCAGACAACCACAACTACTTTCTTACTGCTTGGCCCCAGGACATTGTAACAGTCTTCATGTCAGTGAGCAGCAGGTCCATCAGCAGTCTGTAGAGCTGCCTGCTCCTGCGGCGGCACGGGTTACTGATTCTGCCTCGTCTTTTATTCAGGTGCTTTCATTCCACGCTGCAACGAAGAAGGTTATTACAAAGCAACTCAGTGCCATGGCAGTACAGGGCAGTGCTGGTGCGTTGATAAGTACGGGAATGAGATAGCCGGCTCCAGAAAACAAGGGACGGTTAGTTGCGGTGAGTAATGATAGCTCAGATAGCAAAGGAATTAACACTGTTGTAAGCCCTGCCATTGCTGTAAGATCAAGCGCAATAACAAAAAGTGACAACAGGGAAAACATAATTACCAGTGTTCAGAGTGCTCCTGCATTTTCCTGTTCATAATACAAATGGGGTCTTGATACACATGCTGTTGTTCCTTTGGACTGTGGATGTACAGAAGAATTAAATTGGCAATAACCACTGATAAGAAGATGGTTTTGCTACCAGCTTGGAAAATGCAGTAGTTGCTATTAAAATAAAGGATATGGGATTGTTATGCAGGGTTATTAAATACATTCTGTATACTGTGCAGTACGCATTTACAGGGCCTTCATAAATAATGTCACTCCCAACAAGGAAGGTTTAACTGTGTAAAATTTTACAAACTAACAGCCAAGCCTGATGAAAATGCTGATATTATATTGATATGTAATAACACCACCTCGCTCTTACACCTAGGCAAACAAGATTTAAGTGGTATTCCTTCAGTGGGTTTTAGTAATGGTTGTAGGTGCAGCTCTTCTTGTTCCAGAAAGAGTAGGAGGAGCTGAGATCTAGAAGGCCAGAGGTGCCCAGAATTGCACTGAAGGTGTTAGGCTCAGTAGGTACATTTGCAGGAACGTGTTTTAAGCACTCAGATAAAATCAATTTGTGGAATATTTTTAGCTTGGTCTACTTAGTCATGATAGGCTGAAAACATTTGTGAATGGGTAATTATTTTGTGGTCTGCATGCATGTTGGTGCTCTCCTAAAAAAAATCATTTGAGTCTCTAGGAGGCAGGTGAAGCACAGTTTCTTAGGTAATTATATTTTTTACTCATAAACCAATATATATTTATCCCAGTGCAGGATGAAAATTGAAATTTGCAAGTTGTTTCATGAGGAGCTGGACCAATGAACTTAAAAAGTGCAAATGGCAGTAGCTTAAACTACATGAGTAGTGATGAACGTTGACCAGAGGGGTTTGATAGCACAGGGGAGAATGACCATTCCCTCTTACCTGTTTCAGAAGAAGAGCAAGAAACCTCAGGAGATTTTGGCAGTGGTGGATCGGTTGTATTGTTGGATGATTTGGAAGAGGAACCTGAAGCAGCAAAAAAGGACAAAGAAGGGAAACTGAAGATTCACGTAAGAGCAGCTAATGAAGACGATGAGGATGAAGATGATGATAAGGATGATGAAATTGGTTATATATGGTAGTGCCCATCATTCTGAGGACTCACGTTTTGCACAATATTGCAAGTCACATCATATCTCTGCAATTGTATCTGAGAGTACCTGGCACAAATATTCCCTCTCTACTCAGTTTGGTTTGGTATAGCGTATTTAATTTTGAAGACAGCTTTTTTTTTTTTTTTCTCCAACCAAGACTGTTTGGAATACAGCTTTTGTTCAGTTGCTTTGGGGGATTTTTGCTCTATCCACAGGGGCAAAGAGTTTTGTTTCAAAAACATTTCATGTCTTAATCCTCACTTGCTCAGCTCATACCCTGCGAAGGACGAATCACAGAAGGGGCTCAGCAAACCAGTAGGAGGCTTAGGAGCCCTTCCCATGCTATCAGCCTTAGAGAATTTGTATCATAAAACGTTACCTGGATCATATCGGAAACAGTTTTTTCTTTCATGAAGAAGGAAAAGCAGGTGCCTCATTTTGTAGTCTGTATCTGTTGCCTGTTAGTAAAGAGTGAAAGTTAGAAGTTTAAACTGGAAAGGAGCCCACTTACGGGGTTTTTTTTCTTACATTCCCTGAAAATGAGTCCAACAGGCCTAGTCCAGCCATCACGGCAGGTGATGGCAAGACTGCCGCGAGGGGCCGGAGCGCAGGGCACGCCGCT